CCAAAAACATCCAGGAGGCCCTCCACGCGGCCTCTACGATCGTCCCGATCACTGCAAGGCGAGACGATCTGCCGCGAGAGATATGCGTGCAGATCAGGCGCAAGAGAGCGTTAAAGAAGCTCTGGGCGCGTACTCGCTGCCCTAGACTGAAGACACAGCTGAACACCTTGTCGGAGGAACTGTCGGTTGCAGTCCAGGCCTACAGAGGAGAGGCCTGGGAGCGGCGCATATGGAAAGCTGAAGAGCACGACGCGTCGCTCTACTAACTGAACCGACAGTTGATCAAAGCCAGATCTCCCGTTTGCCCGCTGACCAACAGCGCTGGTGAACGATGCTACGACGCCAAGGGCAGAGCGAATATCCTAGTTGAGCACTTCGAGGAGTAATTTATGCCGAACCCAGCAAGTGCGGAGTTCATGGAACTTCATGCCCGGAAGGAAAGTCGCGTACAGGAGTTCCTGTCGTCGCCCGCGCCACCGCTTGCAGGAGAGTGTTTCATCTCCCCCGCTGAACTGCGGAGGACAGTAACCTGCCTGCAACCAAGGAAGGCGCCGGGGCACGACGGGATTACCAACGCTGCACTCCGACAGCTGCCCAATAGAGTCCTGGTAGAGCTTGGTCGACTCTACAATGGGATATTGCGGACATCCCACTTCCCGGAGGACTGGAAGAAAGGCAGAGTCATCGTCTTGCCGAAACCCGGGAAGGACAGGCGTAGAGCTGCCAGCTACAGGCCGATCACGCTATTACCGCACATAGCTAAACTGCTAGAAAGATTGCTGCTAAGACGTCTCCGTCCGTGCATCCAACTTCGGGTGGAGCAGCACGTATTAAGGAGGGGTCACTCTACAGTTACACAGTTGACTGAGTGCTGCACCTACTTGCGGCAGAGTACAAACGTGGCCGCATATCGTTGGGCGCCTTCTCGATATTGAGAAGGCGTTCGACAGGGTGTGGTACTCAGGATTGCTATGCAAACTGCATGAACAGACGAGTGTCCCTCTTGCTAACTTGCGGCTAGTGGCGTCTTTCCTGGAAGACAGGAAGTTCTACGTCTGCGTAGAGGACGCCGAGTCCGCAACAAGATCCATCAGAGCCGGCATTCCACAGGGCAGCTGTCTGTCTCCAGTCCTGTACGCGGCTTATACTAACGACATCCCAACACTGGCAGGCAGGCTGCAAGAGTGGGAGGACGACGTAGAGCTGGCGCTATATGCGGACGATAGCGCCTATTTCACCTCATCCAGAAGAGCCCACATAGCCACTGCCAGGATGCAGCGTCTGTTGGACCTGTTGCCACCATGGCTGGACGAGTGGAGGATGGTCGTCAACGTTGGTAAGACGATCGCTCTGCTCACTCGCCGTCTCAGAAAACTACCACCTCTGCTGATCCTCAATGGACAGAAGATCACGTACGAGAAGGCCGTGACCTACCTTGGGTGCTGGATTGACAGGACGCAGCGCATGACCGCGCACGTCGACTTCGTCGTCCGTCGACTTGTTCGACCGCGCCGACAACGGGCCACGTGAACACCTCAACGGCTTCGCGCCGTTGCACACTCGGCCGCCGGACTGGCGACCTTTTCCAAGAGAACTCCTCTCTATATCGATTAGAGAGTCGAGTAACAACCCACAATGCCGCTGATAGGCCAACCCTGACTTTTTTACCGGACAACCTCCTTTTTTCCCGTAGTTAACCGACTACGGGATAATTTTTTTTCTCTGACTGCGGATTTATCTGACTGGACTACCATGCCTAGAAAAGGCTCCCAGGACTGGCCCATAGTCGTGGGCCATGAGAAATATCCGGGTAATGGGGGCATACCCCGAGGCCAGAGACCTGCATGGCATACTACATGTCATGTAGACGACAACTCACAGGGACTGGCTTAACAATCTAGCTAGAGATCTTTAAGCCGGGTCGCGTTCGATACGGCTTAAAGATCTCTAGCTAGATTGTTAAGCCAGTCCCTAAAGGCGGTGTTTAGTGTGTAAAAGTCTCCACATAACCACGCAGCCGGCTGCGTGGTATGCTATGAGCATTCACCGCCTCCCTCCCCCGCTTTCCGGAGGATTGCCCATATTGCTTTGGGCGCAAAAAAAATAGCGCACGTAGCGCCGCCAGGCGGCAGAAATGCACAACGTTTATCATGATAACAACATCACGCTAGCTAATCCTAAAAACACAATAAACTACGCAGAGTACACTTAAACATTTTATTGACTAAGGTCTTAGCATAGTTCTAATTTATAGTAGAAATCGAAATTAAACAAATAATTAAAATCACGTATCGTCGCTATCTATCTTAACGTATGTAGTTTTAAATTACAATAAAGGCAAAGTTAAATAAGTAATTAAATTCACATTCGTTGCTAATACTCTTAACGTATTTAGATTACAATGAGAACAAAATTAAATAAGTAATTAAATTCACATTTCGTTACTAACATTCTTTACGTAGTTTTAGATTACAATAAGAATAAAATTAAATAAGTAATTAAATTCACATTTCGTCGCTGACACTTGGCAAGGACGCTTCCTTGGAGCTGCTTTGGCCTTGACTCAATGAACCGCTGGAAGTTCAGGTTTGAAGAAATCTGAACCACTAAAATTAAAGGCGGTTGTTGTATTCCAGTGATACATTTCGGAAAGAAGGAGCCAAGGTGAGCTGGCTCCTTTTGCAGTGAAGAGACACGCTTGTGATTTGGAGGCGTTCAATTTCACATGATTGGCATCGGCCCATTCGGAGACTGCCTTTATTGTAAGATTCACACGCTCAACCATAACTTCTCTATCAAACTATATTTTAAACCGACTGGCCCGAGCCCTTGGTATCTCCCCACAACTGTACTGTCGTCTGTATAGGAACCGTCACGTCGGTGTGCTTTTTATAATTTGCCAGTGCCAGTTGCATGGCTTGTGTGATACAAAGCTGATGCAGGGAGATAAGTTGTTTTCCAACTTTGGCCATCATGCTACATCCGTCAGTGGTTGTTCCAACAATATATTTTCTAAGAAAACTTGTAGGTTAAGAGTTTGTGATGTGTTTGTCTACGTATTTTTTGCTAGCAGTGAGCCAAAACCTAAGAGCTCAATATTTTTGAATTTGAATGGTCCATTTCAAAACGACAAATGAAAACTCAAGCTTATATAAGTCATGTACTATTGGATATCCATTCATCAAATGAAATTGCAAACTTCTTATTGTTGCCCTAATGCTTCTGTATTTCTTTCTTCAGTTCTTCCCTTATCTGACCATATTCTTTGTACACCATTTCCCTTACTATTTGGGATGATTGGGGTGTCGGATAATATGGTTTCTTCAAAACTAGGCTGAGAGTTTCAGAGTTAGTTAGTGTTCGGAATGGGATGACATCTATAGGAATCATTCGGCTTATAAAAGAGGATATTTTTACAACGTTTTGTTTGTTGTCTTCAACTCAAATGTGTACCTAGGTCTGTGTATGGGAGAAACATAATATAAAGAACAATGGTAGTTCAGGCCTCGACGTAAGTTTTATAGCATGCAAACTACAGTTAGTGATTATAGTCTCTTTGGCTACAATATTGGCCATAAATTAGTTTTTAGTTTTCTTTTATAATTTTACTGAATATGTTTTATTTTCAATTTATTCCATATTATTTTTATTCATTACAATTTTGTGTAAATCTATAATAGGGTATACCTATACACGAAAATATATTTTATAAGACTTCCTTATTATATATTTACACATGTGTACTACTGTTAATGTAGGATCTACCTTATAAATAAATAAATGAGTATCACGAGTTCGATCGATCTGTAAAATTAAATATTTGGACGACAATATGAAGACCTCACAGATGTGAATAAGGAGCCTGTGTCCAATAGATATATGGGAAAATACGGCCTTGGTTTAATATTTTACTTTAAACATATTGTCCTACAAAGTACAGGCTGTTATTTATTCTGTTGTTCAGGTAGGCAAGTTGACTGATTTTGAGGCTTAGTAGCATTTGGCTCCGGGCTGCAGTTTCGATTCCCGCATAGAGTAGGAGTTGTTTTTATTTTTTTTTATAAGATAGGGTGACAAACTAGCACACAGTCCACCTTATTGTAAGTGGTTGCTACCGCCCCATAGACATATAAATCTATCTTCGATTATCAAAATGCAGATGCGTTATCACCCGTGAGGACTAAGATGGAATGCCTCGTTTCCAGGAAAAAGGGTCTCCGGTTGTCTACACTCACCGTACGAAACAGTGTAGCGTATTTTATGCTGGTATTCTGTGACAGCGTGGTCCTTCCCCGGTCGAGCCGACCCATGCGTGCTGCAACTATACTGCTATATAACTGCAGTATGCCTCTGCCACGTATAAATGTTAATGTTGCAGTTTATATATTTTTAACGTAAAATTCTCATGCCAATACACGTGGTAATTACAATTTTTAGTGCTATTTTTCTTTTCAAATTTTCTAAACGAAATATATGATTTAATTATAAATAAACAAAAAAATATTTCAAGAACATGTGTAAACCGCATGCGATAGGGCAGTGCGGTGGAATGCTCCCCCGCCCCAAAATCCTTAGTCTCCGAAGAAAGGAGAAATCCTTTTCGCTAATAAAATGTATTAAGTCACGTAACAATTTACCTTTATGAACTTTTAGTTTTATTTCCTTCCCCAGAATGGAAACAAGAGGTAGTACAACGAGGTAACACGCTACGAGTAACTTGCTATAAAAAAAATATTTCCGAGCTTAGCCCCGAGTTTACGATTAGTGGGTGTGCTACTTTCCAAGTGAAAGTATTGGTTATAACACAATCTAACCTAACTTCCACGAGCTATATCCTTGTCAGGTTTTTTAAAAACTGCCCACAAGACGACAATATTTACTCCATAACTGTATCCAGTAACAAACTATGCATTGTAGAAAAAAGCTTTCTGTCTGACGATGGTACGTGGCATTTTATTAAGGAGAGTTATCAAGATTCGGCGTTCGACATCTCGGTCGTCATGGATACGGTACACATCAGCTCATTCGAAGCGCTTTACGATGATACTGAACTAGTTGACTTTGAGCTCCGCGGAGAAGATGGATCCGTGAAAGTGCATAAAGCTGTCCTTGCAGCTTCTAGCCTCGTATTGAGGCAAAAGCTCAGCGGCAGCTGGCGAGAGACTACAGAAGGTCACGTCGACGTCCCAGGCACTTCAGCACAGACGTTACAGCATTTCAAAGATTACATATATTTGCGCAAGCTGCCCAATACTGGCTTGGAGCAGATCCTGCTTCTTGCTTCGTATTATATGATACCAAAATTAGAGCAGAAATGTGTAAATAAACTGGTGAATAGTTTGACAGCGCAGAAAACGTACGACCTGATAGAGTTCGCTATGAAACACAAAGTGAACAAGCTTATACTGGCCATTCTTGACTGGGTTCAGAATAGAGGTGTGGAAGTCAAGGATATGCGTCCATTCTTTTCGAGTTGTAAAGATAATAAGTGTGAAGAATGATTGTAACGGATATCGTTTGTGTATATTATTATAGTATAGGACATACTACACGTGTTTAGTTAATTAATATTTTGTACGAGTCAGTTAGATCTAATATATACTCATTATTAATCAACAAATCCTAACTGTCATTATAAAATTGCGTATTTCCCTTTCCGTGTCCATCTGGCTACATCGATCTCGCGAAATCCACACGCTTTTGTAATACGACGGAATTCTACTAGCCCGTGTTCGATTCGCGCCAACTGAGCTCGCCTTTGTGATCAAGTGGCGCGGGGGAGGTTTGAGTTTGACAAAATAGTGTGAAGTTGGACTGAACACTTTTGACTTGACTCTTCTTAGACTGTTAGAGTCTTCAAAAGCGTGTTGAATCAGCGACGGTATTAGTCTATAGTAGTAGGTAGTATTATTAACTCAATATGATTTTATTGAAACATTACAATAAAATTACGTTGAAATTTAGAACCGTTTGGCAGGAATTTGGGGGAGTAAGGTGTTTTATTTAGTAAAGGTTTGGTCCCCGATTATAATAATATCACTCACATTAAAAGGGTAAATGCACCGTTCTTGAGAAAAATCAAAAGGAAAATCTCATAGAACTAACCTCAAAATGATAGCACAAAATGAATTTAGGGTGTAGGAGATGGTGCAGAGGGAGACGGGGGAGTTGTAGAGTCGCCCTCTACTTCCACCTCCCGCCGGACGTGCTTAGTTTTTTTTATAAATTTTTAAAAAAATTTAAAAACTTATTTTGAGGTTATGTTTTCGTAATGTTTTAGACTATAAACCTGATTTATGGGGGGAGAGAGTTGGGGGAGGGAAGCACCACGTATCGCAGTCGAGGGAAGCCCGGTCGACGAAAAAAATAACATGAACCACCTTATAATTTAACCTGTCCGAGTCAGGATGCCCTAAGTCCCGACCGCCTCGCTTCGATCGATCTTACACTCAATAAACCCCAAAATGTTAACTTTTGTAAAAAAAGGATCCAAAGGGGTAGCGAAGTCGTCGAAAAACAGTCAGAGGCAGATAAAACCTTTAGGGAGCAGCATTCAAGCTACAATGATACTCTAGAGAGCACACATTCACGCAAGAAGAGCTACAGCGGGGTAATGCATAAAAAAGTCAAGCAATTTGTCATCAAATGAGCACGAATTTGTTTCGAACAGACCAGTTAAAAAAACATGTTCAATTCAATTGCACACTATTTTGTAAAACCTCTTTTAACGTTACTTGATCGCAAAACGTGCTCAGTTCGCGCGAGCTGAGCACGGGTTGGTTGAATTGTGTAGTAATACAAAAGCGTGTGAATTTCACGAGACCGGTGTCGTCAGTTGGACACGGAAAGGGAAATACGCTATAAAATTATATAAAATATAAAATTTTAGTTATACGTACTTGTAGTGTGATGTTAAAAACACTTGCTATACTTAAATCGTATTCTAATAAGAAATGATAATTGACGGATTGTCTAAGGCTAATTGTTTAAAAGATATCGATTAATAGTTGTTTTTGGTAATTGATACATTCAAACAGGCTGTAAAGCGGTAAACAGTGATATCAGCTTCATCTACAAGTCAAAGATATCTACTTTTGTATCTAATTATGACACATGACCTTGAGCATATCCCGAGTGGCGCTCGAAACATCGGGTTGTATGTGTACTAGTGTATAGATAAAATCCGTGAAAAAAGTTTCATTTAAAACAACTTTAGTTATCATTTTGTGCTTACCTACTTATTTAAATATTACTGTATATAATTATCTTTTTTGAACTTATTAGTTTATGTTAACATCTTCTATTATTAAATATGTAATACAAAAACAAAAAAAAAAAACCCCCCCCTTAAAATTTATAAAAAATAAAAAAAAAAAAAAAAAAAAAAAGAGCAGCCGGTCGGCTCGACCGGGGAAGGACCACGCTCCCACAGAATACCAGCGTAAAATAGCAGCTTAATGCTGCTGTGTTTCGTATGGTAACCGGATTCTTTTTTACTGGAAACGAGGCATTCCATCTTTGTCCGCAGAGGTGGCAACGCATCTGCATTTTGATTCCTAATCGCGGATAAATGTACTATGTCTGTGGGCCACAGCATCCACTTACCACGACTCTAACTCTCTAGGTAACTCTAAGGTGGACTGTGTGCTCGTTGGTTGCCCGTTATTCTAATATAATAAAAATAATTTTTATGAGAGATAAATAACAGATGCCTCATGTATATATTATACAATCCATCCATAGATTATACAATCTCCTCAATTATTTTCTAGGGTTTGCTCTTCCCTTACCACGCCTAAGTCTTATCTTTTAAGCCTTACCTGGTTGAAAGGGAAGAAATGTTTTTATTTTAAGATGCAAAGATAAAATAAGTTTAACTAGTTTATTAGCGGGGATTGCCCCGAGCTAGAAGTTTGTTTAGAAGCTGAACTCGTGCCTTACGAATATTTTAAAATAGACGATCCACGTTTCGATTTTGTACGAAGATATAATGTTATGTAGTTGTCAATTTATATTTTGTAATTTCATTTCACAATAAAAACAAGAACTTAATAGTGTTTCATTTTCATATCTACCTTGTTTTATGTCATTATCATCATCACTAACGCACAAGTCGGCTATGGAGTTGTAATGAGTATTGCTACAATGGGTCACTTCGACTTAAATAGAATGTGCTAATTGAAGTAATATGTATGTTTTGTATGGTTAATGCAGGAATCGGAGATCATTATAATATACCTACTATTAAATTACTTATCTGAATATTACGCGTGTACAATAACATGAGATTCGCGTGCGACGAACCTGCCCGCTACTCGTACCTCCCCGCGTTAGCACTTGTTTGCACAGCAAACTGCGAAGATTGTTCTTTAGTCTGGTTAGCTAGACTCGCGACGTAAGACGAAAATTTTTTTTTTTTTTTTTTTTTTTTATAAAAATATTTATTTTAAAAAAAAAAAAAAAATTTTCCACATGTTCCGCTTTTCGCACTTGAAACTATTTGGTACACTGTACAAGCACGGCCCTATGACGTCATTGGACTCTCATGTTACTATGCACGAGCAATACGTACGGTACCGTTACTGCCTATCGAAGTCCACTGCTGAACACAGTCCTGTACACAGGTTGCCTCATGCGGGGAATACTTGTCATACTTGCCATGGCAGCGGGTTAGTTTGTATGAAGCTGCTGCTGCTCATCTCTTGACTTGCTCTCGTCCTTCGTCTCCTACAACTTAGCGTAGTAGTAGTCGATGTTCTTACACCGCCACTCAGCGGTCAGTAGTCTCTAGTCGGTTGGTACGTACGTACAAAGAAAAGTCGATATCCTATAAAATCGATTTTTTTTACACTGCTGCTAGATTATTTTTTACCACGGCGGAATTATAAACGAGATAATGATATGGTACAAATAATTGGTAAAATTAAAAAACCTGTACAACCGACTTCAATATAAATGAAATGAGAACATCATCAATGTATTCGAGGTCAATTAAATACGCATTATTAAGGATAACTCAAAAATTTTACTATTTTCTTGCTTTAAAATTTTCAGATATACTTAGTCGAGTCATAAGTTCTGACAAAAACTATTATTTAAAACGTTTTGTATAATGGCTAGATGAACTTCAACAATTTTAAAAGTATAACGTTTGCGCTCTTCGATCAATAATATACATCCTATACTATTAAACGAGCAATTCTTGTATATATATATATATATATATATATATATATATATATATATATATATATATATATATATATATATATATAATCGGGATCTCGGAAACGGCTCCAACGATTTTCATAAAATTTAGTGTCCAGGGAGTTTCGGGGATAAAAAATCGATCTAGCTAGGATTTATTTTTAGAAAATGTCTTTTTGTCCGTGTTTTTAGGCAATGAAAAACTGCTACAATATCGTTAGAATAAGAAAGTTGGGAAGTGGGGAAGGAATTTTGACAGATTGTTAATGATTATATATACCTTAATTTGTATAATGGGCGGTCACAGAATCGTAAAACCCCGGTTCGAGCCCAGATCGACCGACCGACTTTTTTAAATTTTTTTTTTCAAGTTCCTTTCTTTTTTTAAGAAAATCTATTTTTTCGAGCCCTTTTTTTAGTATTTTTTCAAAACACGAAAATTTAAATTAAAATAATTGCACTCATGATTTTTTATTCAAATAACCAGTTCCGTTTTTTCTGTAATGTCGCTAAGATCAAAAAATATTATTTATATTTCATCAGTATGTAATGTAAATATAATTTCCAAAAAATTGTATCTAAATATAATTTCCAAAACACACGAATTAAAAAAAATCGAGCGAATAATACCGAGCAAAGCTCGGTCAACCAGGTACTGTATATAATTGATCGAAGTTTGCGCTTGCCGAAAATAAAAAAAACATTAATTTTTATTCACTTTCAAATATGGAGTGGTTGAAGATATAAGATAGAGTAGTGGTTATCGCATTGCACCGCTGTGGTTACACACCAAAAGAGATTTTCAATATTCTACAAAAATTGAAAAAAAAAAAAATAGAAAGTTAGGACACCCGCGATCATCAAAGCAGTGAACGCGCGAATCCAACGAAATACTGTTCGTAAACAAAAAAAATCTTAGCTTTTCAGATGGGCGTAAGCAGAACCACGGTCAAAAGAGTGATCAATGCAATCAAATCGGTCAAATTTTGATTTAATATGGGACCACATGTGAAGAGAATCACCAAAGTCGGTTCACTTAGAAAAAACTTCCGAGGTAATACACATAAAAATACAGTTGAATTGAGAATCTCCTTCATTTTTTGAAGTCTGTTGAAAGCAGCGGCATTAGTTGGATAAAGACAAGACAAAAATAAAACAAAGCAACCAGTAATATTTTTATAATAATGAACAAGATCAATAATAATAAGATTACATAATATGTTTGTCCCTGTCATAAAAAAGCCGATTTAATTGTAACTTCTACGAAGTTCATCATACTTAAGACTTAAAAAAA